GACGTCCAGCCACTCGATCATACACCTTGGACGGCCAGTTGCTCCATCCCAACACATCTGTCAGAGACTTAGGAGTTCTCTCACGACATGATATGAGATCACCAGAAAATACAGAGAAATTGTACTGTGCGGGACTTCGTACGCTTTGGCCATTAAGCCACAGTTTCTCCACATGGTCTGAAGAAACCGTCCCTCGTCTATTCACCTCGCTCATTAGACCAATCCTTGAACACGATGCGCCAGCTTACCATCCGATAACCCTGTGGGAAACTGAAAAGCTGGAGAAAATACAGCGTATCGCAACTAGGATGATTCCGAGTCTACGAAAGCTTCTGTATGAAAAACGTTGTGAAAGGCTCTTGCTCTACACACTATCCTAACGCCGAGTAAGAATTGACCTTATTATGACCCATCGAGTACTACACTTAAATCACTTCCCATACTGTGGCCAATATTTCACCTGCGAGAACCCTGTAACACCCGTGGACACCGTTACAAACTCAGGGTCCCATGCATGAACAAAGTATCACATCAGCTTTGTATCGAACGAAGCATCGTAAACTTATGAAATACACTACCAGAAGGATTAATAGAGGTCGATTCTGTGAAGTGTTTTAAAACCCGTATTGACGATTATTTCGGAAATCTGTGCTTTTGTGAAACCATGCACATACAACGCCAAAAGAAGACATTGTATGCCCGGGAATAATGACACTAGTACAAATTCCTAACCGAACAAGGATAAACGATTAACTGACCAAACACAACCACTGACGATTCACAACTACAAGTTTTTGATTTTTCGTAATTCGGTAGAGTTGTACAGAAACCTTTCTACTTGCTCTTAAATACAATTTCAGTCTCAACCCAGTATTCGTTCACATTCTCAAACTGCTCCTCAGGACTTTAGATGGACATTTCTACGCTACCTTAATATTTTCACTAGTTATCAACAGATAATAGTCACAGGTGCAACTTCTGAAACTCCTGTTAACCAGTTTAGTAATTTCACTTGTTGTCTGAAAGGATAAGGCTCTCCGGCTTTGTAATCCAACGGTCGATGGCTTGAATCTGCGCAGGTGTGAATGATAAGACAGTATCTCCGACCTACGCGCATTTGGCGGTGCTTACGTGACAATAAAGTGATATTACTTGTCGTCAAGTACGGTTTCATTAGGAAATCAATAAATTGTGTATTCGTCGATGACGTGAGAAGCCGTTCGCTAGAAACAATAACTCAATAACTAGTGCAACCACTTCATGTCATTACATACTTAGCTACAAAATGTGTGCAAAGTTTATGTAACACAAAGCCATGTAACTTGTTTGCTGGTTTTTCGTCCTCTCGATGCACCAGTGTTCTTCACAAGCACATGACGTTCGGGCTGGGATAAAAATGAAACGAAAGGAACTGTGGCCTAAGAAGTCATGTGCAGAGGTGTTCATTTAGCCTGGATACATGGGTTGTTCGTGATTTGTCATGCCTCATCGATGCCATCCTCGAAAGCGTTTTCCATCCATTGTAGTGTCTCCAACATGAACTGCGTTTTGAATGTTTATTTGCCCATTAATCGCGATTCTGAGTTTAGACAGTGCACAACATGTCCTGCTATCTTGAAAGTCCTTTCTAAATCTTTAAGTAGTGGATTAGAAAGAAATGTTCGATGATTGTCGTAGTGAACTTCGGAATCGTGACTGTCACCTAAATAAATAGATATTTTATTCTCGATAAAGCGAAACACGCCTTTTGGGCATGATCAGCATAGTGCAATGTTGTACATTATAGCATAATAAGCAGGAGTAATACAGGGTGTAGTCAGTAGTGTAGGCCTACATGGCCCAAAGATTGAATGAACTTTATCCCCGTAGAGTGTGAGATAATAAATAAATAAATAAACTTTTGTTCTCGAACTTTTTGAGGCACGCCAAACCGAGCATGATCAAAATTGGACAGGCACTGGCGTTTCACCAAGTTCAGGATAGATTACACGCAGGAACGTGAAAATGTAAAGTCATCTTGTGAGAAGCAGCATAGTTAACGCTGTGTTGATAATGAAGGATCGAATATGATTAACGAGAGTACGTAAACATGTGTGAGCGTATGCATGTGAATTAGTGGTGTGTGAAGTAGGGGGACTTGCCAATGTGATGCAAATGGTAGTGACTTTATCCCGTGGCGAGTCACATCCGCCACGTCGCAGTGTTGTTATAGGGAGAACACTTGCCATATCGGGAATCTAGTGTTTAAAAACATGTGAGCACCGATATTAGAACTGGGCACATGATAGTTTATGATCCTGCTAAGAAAACACAGGTTCACAGCTTCATTCTCCGAAAGCAAACTGAGTCAAGTCCATGCTTATCACAATTCTCTTGTACATCATCTTTGAGGAATACCCGCATACCTTTTTCGTTAAGCGTCGCTATTACCTTCTTAAGAATATGCTGGTCGGATTTTTGTGATTCGATTGGACCAATAAACCGTATTCCATACCTGGTAATATAAATGCTTTCGGGAACCAGATGCGGAATTCCGTGAGCTAAAAATAGCACGTGTATCAGATGGTCTTAGACATTTGGAAATTGAAAATCGCAATGTCCCGAAAGATAAAAAGTGACAGAATGTCGCACACCCAAGTCGCAAACTGCCCTACATTGCGAAATGTATGTGTCTTGCACTGTTAGACTGTGTAACGGTACTTGATATTTGTCCACGACAATTGACCTCTGCCACAGTTAGCACCAGGATTCGAGTTCAGATAAGTCACCCTGGATGAGGCTTTGACAAGTTTAATGTCATCAGCAAACAGCAGGACAGCACCATATCACTAGAATACATCGTTTACATAGATGCAGACAAGAAATGGACCAAGAACTCCCTTTAATTATTCCACTGGTGACTGCTTTTGGTTTCGAGATATGGTCACCGCTTTGCACCACCTGCTGTCTACCAGCTAGATAAGAGGACAACCAAGAAAACTTCGGCTTTCCAATGCCTACTGCCTTCGGTTTCTTATTAGTCTCTGATGATGCACTCTATCAAGGTTTTTTTTGCTTGTCCCGAAGCAGAATTATACCACTGTTTTCATTGTCTATGGCAGTCCTTATGTGGTTTTATAAGTCTGTCCGGCATGTTGCACAAGATTGACCTTGCAGAACACCGTGCTGCAAATTGCTGATGGTGTTGGCCTTGTTCAACAAGATAAATAATTCGTCTTTCACTATTCGTCCCATTATTCTAGATACGCTAGGTGTGTGATTGATTAAGAGAAGGGTTTTAACCTCATAAGCGGCACCATTTTTGTAACGCGGGGTAAAAACAAAATTCATCCACAGTATGATGTACTCCATTATTAAAAGAGAGCGTAAAGGTCTTGAGCTAACACAGGAGCAAGTCGCTGCCACCGTTTTTTAATACACTTAGAGGGATTCCATCAGGTCTTGTGTAAGTCGAGAAACATAAGCGAGAGAATTGACCCGGGATTTTCGCAATGTTAAATTCTAGTGTGCATAGACTTTCACCGATTCGCGGGGTGACCAACACTGTAATGTACGAAGGTTGATTCACCCAACGGTTCAATTTCGAAATGAGCCCCTAATTGATTTTTATATACAACACTCTTTAACGAACTTCTGACCTTGGACTACAGGTAAATTGTCGAGTGAATTAGAAAACAGCCGCATTATGTGAAAAGTCTTGTACTTCGGCTACAACGGCGCTTATCTGTTTGTGTCCATAGTGGACCCCACAACTTTAGTTATCGATAGTATATCAACTTCAGCTTTAGACACTTGCTTCATGTGAGCATAGCATTTACCAAGCTGTCCTGGCGCTCTGCTGGCACACAGGTTTGGTGGATGTTGGTTATGTCATAAACGTGTCTGCATTTTGCGTACGCTGGATTCCTAAATTCTGGTGGAAAACGACCGTGTGTTGCATGCTAGCCGCTCGCAGTAATGCACTCCGCGATTGGCTTCGGAAGTAACTAAATAGTTTATTCTCTACTATGTAATCCTCAGCTTGAAATTGCAGCACAAACCCTGAACCTTTGGAATGTCCGCCTGCAGCCTGTACCCCAAGCTCTAACATTCATTCACTTAATATATAGTCTCATTGATCGATTTGACTTAAGTTCACTTCAACGAGAGTTATTCTCCACAAACTAGTTTTTGATAACCTAGATAGTTCCTTAGAACAACAGATAGCACCGACTACGTTGCGTTGCCTTGGGCCCCTACTACGTATTCTTGGTCATCGCGTATGGAGGAGGGCCTTGTTTAGTCTGTCAGATGTAGGGTGCCGCAAGGCTCGAGGTAGACGAAAGTTGACTTGGCAGCGGGAAATGAAGTCACGGACGATCAAACTGGGTGCCGTCGGTACGTCTCGCCTTCCGACCTGGAGTCCACGTGACTCGCCTTGTTCTTGGCTCGAGACTTTACAAGACATGGCTCGCAGTCGACACTAGTGGCGCGTCTGCTGTCGTCTCCTAGTCGGACTGCTTGTCTAACGTGTGTTGGGTGTTGAGTTATCTGTAAGGTAATGGCTGATTATGCTACGGGACAGTGAAAGTCTCAAGGAAGCTGCTTCGCCGATGCCGCCTTGTCTTTTCACGATAACCAGCTGTTTTGTGCTGACATGTTGTTGATAAGGTGTAGGCACCCTGACCCTGAATGTTTGCTTAGGACATTATGGTTTTCAGGTATGTCCCCCTTCTCTTCCTCTTAGTATCCTTCGTTCCGTAGGTCGTTATGGTTATATGACTGCGAAGCATCAGTTCTAATCGCTGATGTACTGCCGTTGTTGATTGATTGACTCTCCACATTGATATTGCGTGTCGCAATCCATTCACACACACACACACACACACACACACACACACACACACACACACAGGTGCCTCCAAATGACCCCTCTAATGCGTGATCTTTTCATGGCGAACGAAATCCTCAAAAATGGCAAGCGATCTCACTAGATGATTGTTTCTCTTCCCCCTTTGTAGATGTGAACAAGATGCCCTTGGGAAAATTGAGCGCCAAACAGATTGCTTCCGCTTTTGAAGTATTAACAGACCTCGGTGAAGTGTTGAAGAACAACAAAACAGGGGACATTGACATTCTGTCATCGCGTTTCTACACACTGTTTCCTCATGCATGTGGACGCCAGAGGCCACCACCGATCTCGGATCTGGTGGTACTTCGAGCCAAGCTTGACATGCTGCTTGTTCTGTCTGACATGGTGCTCACTCAAGGGATACAAGAGAAAGTTAAACTGGAGGAGGTAAGTAGACCGTTCTGGTCTTTCTGGAGGCTGAATGAAATGTTTTCCTTAATTTTCCGTCGTTTTGTTGAACATTTTCAAGTATCTAACGCAGTAGGACCTATTCGAATCCAGCCCTCACTTTGGTGCGGTTAAAGCGTAGGACCCCTAAAATGTAAACGCGCCTAATGGGAGCATTTCATACCCAGTAGCTCAGTACTTCAGCGCGAATCCTGTGAGGACATTATAGGTAAACAGACCGAACACTGCCCGCCTCGATGTTTGAGTCGCATCTTCGAAGGGCAATGCTGCGTTGCCGAACTGTTGTGATACCTCACCGATCACCATGATAGTCGAACAACTACCCCAAGCAGCCATATCACCCCTTGTCTGTGGTTTCCTCGAGGTCACTGCATCATCTAGGGAGAGAACGGGAGATAATTGTCTTGGTGAATGGTAGACTGCCCAGTGTAGCGGTTTGAATGTTTCTACCGTATGCATCACAAACATATGTGCGTTAAATACACCGTAGCATTGGCTCTCTTTGATCACGGTGTATACGTTCGCGTGCCTCTGGTTCATCACCTCATGCGAACACGGGAGCCACGAGGCCCCTAGTTGCGTGCAGCTTTTCTGTGGCTTGTTTTGTGCGTCTTATCGCTGTTTCGTCCCCCCAGAATCTGATTCACGTGCTCTTACGTCTTTATCGATTCTCTTTGCACAACCTTATAGGATAAAGTGAACGTTTTAGACGAAAAGTACGATCTACTGGAATGTGAACTCCAGTGGTTGGACGAACAGGATGCTGACCGTAAACTGATCTTTGAATTCTTCATGAATACCGGTGAAAAGGGCTACAAAATACTCAACGTTTGGCGCGTGAACCGGGCAGGCGAAGTAAGTGTAGTTTTTCGCGCTTCTATGCTCCATTCGTTGTACTTTTGACCCCCATAGTTTCTCACTGCTTCAACAACGTGTTCACGTGCTTGGCGTTCTAGTTTGCACATCAGGGACATGTGGTACTGTTCCCCAGACAGTTAAGTGAAATCAGCTGAATAAATGAAGTACAATAACTACGATGGAAGTGATACGTTTTTGTGCAGTCGATTGGCTTGCGACTGGCGGCATACATTCGTATCTTTGTACGTAACTGTGACGGCGAACAACCACAGGGCGCCTGCACCGCACCAACCACAGCTCCATCCGCACCCACCATTTCTGCTCGGAACACGTCACACGCAATTCAACAGCTGATCGGTTGAGTGATGGTGGAGGGCGAGTTATACCATTCACTACGGCAATGATTGTTTAAGTTATGAATTTTTCGCGTGATTTTTATCGTCACTATTCATAATTTGACATCTATGTCTACATATACAACATATTCGGGCCACAGAGTTGGAAACTTTACCATCCAGTATGACCCACATGGTTTCTAAACTACAACAACCTGGATCACTAGAAGTGGTGTGGATCGATTCATGTACCTTGTTAGTTGAGTTGCATATAATTGTCACATCACTGGGCTTACTTTGCAATTTTGCAAGCCCCTGGGGGGGCGGTTCAGAGACCTTATCAGTTCACCCCGAAGACATCAAATGTTTGGCTGTTTTTGACCATCGCTACTTGCGTAGTATTGCTAACATCTGATGGGAGCACCAATACGCAATCCTGAGACGCACCAATGGTTTTTGGCAAGGGACCCTCTGGTGCCTCACTGGATTGTCTGCCAAATCCTAACCGCTAATGTGGTCTAGATCTTGTCCTTCGCATGCTCGCTGACCGCCTTTCTCTGCCTGCATCATGTGCTATCGCTGCATCTTTTTAAGAGAAAGCACAAGTTGTCCACTCGATGGCGTGGTATAAAGCATGAAAGAATTGTCTTGGAAACTTGCTCTGATTCGTGCATACCCTCTTCGTGGATGGACCACATCGGTGCTTGGAAAGGCTACCGGACATGGCTTAGTTGCACAGTCAATGGCGCTTCTGCATTCGGTTTCTTATGCGCAGCTGTTAATATTCCATCCCCATCACTCTTATCCACTTCCTTTCTGACCGCTTTTTCTTGGTAATCTGTTTGCATTTCACCTCACTTTATCAAGACGCGAGTCATGACAACTTGCTCCATCTCACTCCAATGCTCTGCTCATAGTTGTTTGACTGAACTGAACCATACTTCATTCGTGGCGAGCTATCTGACTCGAAGTGTTCTTGCAACTCATCATCGCCCGGATTTTCTCCCTCACCCTATCCTCCGATTTCCCCTTCACCTTACAGGCAGAGCGATACAAGCCACATCGTAAGATGGATAATCGTCGACTTCTCTGGCACGGAACCAGTGTGGCTGTGGTCGCCGCAATCCTCAAAACTGGTCTTCGAATCCTTCCTCACTCTGGTGGTCTCGTGGGCAAGGGGATTTACTTCGCTTCGTTAGCAGCCAAGTCACAACACTATGGTAAGGTTTGATGCGAACTGACCACTTTTTCCACGTCATTCCTAACCCACAACCCTACTGTGGCTACAAATGAGTTTATGAACAACGTTGCCCTTGTTGTGGATCTACTAGCACCTACTGTAAGGAGAAATACCCATGAACATAGGGGTGAACTCAAACTTCTGTCCAAAGCCAAAATAAAACTAAAGAAACTCAAATCGCTATACAGCAGGAACAACAGCTTCGCAACATTGCTACAAATACACGCGAACTTACTATATTTACAACGTCTGACCCTAACGGTCAAAACCAAAGAAGAAAGCCGGGTACTCAGAAATCCTGAGAAAGTACGTGCATTGATGCAACTACTCAAAAGAAGAAACCCTAAACCACTTCAGCAAATTGAAACGTTGGCTCTAGACGATGGTTCAATAACGCGCATCTCCTGTATATGCGATACCATGAACTCTAATTTTGCCTCCTCTTTTGTCCCCAACACAGCCATTTCATCCTCCACTTCCAAAAAGAACGACCGAACTATACTGCAATATCCCTGTGACGTTAAGGGAGGTGAAAAGTGCCATCGCAGCCATAAAACCATCAACTCATCCAGGTCCAGATGACATCTCCCCAACTGTTATAAAACTCGGAGGAAAAAACCTCGCACTATTGTTACTAAACATTTTCACACTTCACTCACTACCGGATGCTTTCCAGCTCAATGGAAGCAATCCATTATAATGCCTAAGCACAAGGGTGGACCGAGAAATCAAATGTCAAGCTACCGCCCAATAAATCACACCTCTGCTGTTTCCAAAGCCCTAGGGAGAATAGTCAAGAAGAACATCGTCCAATATCTTACAAGGCTGGATCTGATCAACCCTTCACAGCACGGCTTTCTCTCACAACGCTCCTGCGTTACATGCCAGCTACAATTTCTCGATCACATCACGACTATGATTGACAGAGGAATGGCAATTATTATAATTCTGTTGGACATGTAAAAGGCGTTCGACCGCGTTCCACACCAGCCACTGCTGTCTGCTCTAGAGTCATATGGAAATGGAAATCCGCTGCTTAATTGGTTCGACTTATACCTAAACGGTCGAACTCAGGTCGTTAAAATCGGTCAGCAACATTCTACACCGAAGCCAATAACCAGCGGCGTCTTCCAGGGAAGTGTGCTCGGACCGCTACTTTTCTTAATCTATGTAAACAATATATGTGACCCGATCAAACATGGACATCCATTTCTGTTTGCAGATGATGTCAAACTGGTCTACTCATTTCATCCAGACCAACTACATATGTGTTTGGGAAACATCTGTGAAGACCTATCCGCACTAAATATAGCTAGTGAGCGCTTATTAATGAAGTTCTCCGCAGTGAAATCCCAAGTACTTGGGTATAGATGCCGCATCCCAGAAGGCTCCATTATACTTGCCGGAAACATGATCCCAACGTCTGATTCAGTTCGGGACTTAGGAATTAGATACTCCAACTCTTTCAATTTCTCCGAACATGTTCTTTATCAGGTTGCGAAAGCAAGGCAGCTATGAGGATATATCACCAGAACTTTCTCCCTACCTGAAGTACGACTTGAATCATTCAAGACAATCGTACGACCGACTCTGGAATATTGTACTATCCTTCACAGCCAATTGAGAAAGAAAGACAGAACGGCTCTAGAAAATGTCCAACGATCATTTACCAAACTGCTCATGGGACGCTGCTCAAACCTGACTTATTATGATCGCTGTCGAAAACTCCAGCTGGATCCACTTTGGCTGAGACGCTTAAAGAACAACCTCGTTCTCTTCTACAACATTATAAACCAACGAATTTACGCAGACAGCACCGCACTTGAAGTACGGAAAACTGCAGTCTACCCCACACGTAATGGCGGCTACTTGATACGTACAAACCTTTCAAGTCATAAAATTCGGTCGAATTTCTTCTTAGTGAGATACACTTATCTGTGGAACAAACTACCCTACAGATACGCATGTGTACAAGCCATGTCACTTTTCGAAATCTCCTTCAGACCTTCCTCACTATACCAAATGCTCTGAAGATATTTGACTCACAGCAAACACTAGAAACATTGACAGAAGTTGGTATAAAAAACAAATGATAACAGCTTACAGCTAGCTTACCCACTACATGTCATTACATACCATACCAAATCCTGTGTCTTTGCAGCCTAATAGTCCCTTCGTTTATTATCTACTCCTGGCGATACAAACATCCGTAAATTTTACATATGAGTTGCGCGGGTCTAGGACTCAAGGAAAAGTAATCATGATCCGAAATGCTAACAATAAACTTTTATTTAATGTTATGAAACGTGTTCACTATACAAATGATCGCTCCCACTTATGGGGCCGTGTACCGTCCGTCGGTAAATGTACAAATTTATTTATATATTTATTTTATTTATTTGATGCGCTGAATTCCGCACTGACCATTCCCATGATGTGCTTAAAACTGCATCTCTTGCTCTAGAGTCCAATTCGACTGAGCATGCCGGTGATAATGTTCAGTTCTGGAGATCATCCACCCTGCGTTCTACGTATGACGAAACCCCGTGCAGCGCCCATCCATATGCCGACTTCTGTGACTACCACAACAGCGCTCATACGCTGTTCCCGTTTGAAATGCAATGGATCATTTCTTTCCTTCTGTATCCAAACCATGGCAGCATTTCCCTCCTACTGCGTCACAATCGAGTTGCACTACTAGCCGTATGACATTGTTGCCGCCTTGTAGAGCGTTTCTTGCGTTGATTTCATTGCTTGTGCTGAATTGCGCTAGCCAGGTCATTTCGTTATATCCACAGTTGCCAACAAAAGAGTTGATTTGCTGCGTACTACGTACTTGCAGAGGAGGACCCTGTTTTGATCACCTGATCTAGCTTCAACGGCCATCAACACCACTACCAAGGGGTGTTGGTGTAGCTGACCACTTCAATGAGTGTCGTTGACCCGTCTCCCCTTCCGGGTTGTGTTTACCTCGGAATCTTATGGGGTGTTGCTCTCATCCGACACCAAATGCACATTTGGAATCGTCTCCTGGTCGCAGAGCCCTTTTTAAATTTTTCTCCTGTTTTGCTTTTCCACTGATTGTGCGGATAACCTGCTGCTACTGCGCAAACTGACCGACCGACTTTCCAACTTAGCAGACAAAGGCCTCAGGCGAAAATTGTATCGAGCACCTGGCAAGCAGTGTAAACAAATCAAGTAATCGGATCCAATCAATAGTTAATGAGGGAATGGCCTAACACTAATTGGCGGGCTTCAAGGTAGACCATCCTCATTGGCAGCGTTTAAAGTGAAGCGTCACCATTAGCCCGCTTTCATTGATTGGCCTGCTCCGGAATCAGCTGTTCCGAGCTGCTAGCAATGGGGTGTCCGTTTGCTTAACAGCTCCGTTATTGGTTAACCTTGTTGGGCAGTCAGAGCCATTAGATATCAGTCTCGCTGATACCGACTTGTCTCCACACCATTATCAGCTCCGTCTGTAACCATGTAACCATGTTTGCAAGCTGTGGGCATCTTCATTCTCAACGTTTGCTTGAGACGTGTAAATTTCACATCAATCCACACATTCCCTCTTTTATGTCTCCTCTTTAGTGAGGTTAGTATGGCTGTATAGCAAGTAGCTCCAGGAGACAGTTGGTCGTTGCTGGAGGGGACGGGGTGCACGGTCCTTGTGGCTGTGCTAGGCTCGAAGTGCGGTTCCATGCACTCAGTGTGGAACGGACTACGGTCCAGCCACCGCCTTGTGTGCGCTTGATTCCCCAAATACAGCGGGCTTGTGTTTGCTTGTGAAGGAGTGTGGGCTGGCTCCGTTGATGAAACGTGACTCCCATCCACATGCCTCCCCGGTCTTATTCCTTCAGGTTTACACTGGATGTGGGGTGTGTGGTTGGAGCTGTGGGTGGTGCAGCGCAAGCCACCCATGGTCCCTCTGTAGTCGCAGGTGTCCTGTGGCTGGCCACAGTGATAGGCAAATCTGAAACCGGATGCTGCCAACTATAGCAAGTATGTGTACTAATGTTTCCCTATTATGTAGGTACCGTCCTGTGCGGAAAAAATTTTGTATTCACCATAAGGATCGACATGATGCGATCAGTTTTAAACGAATACTGTTAAACACTACTAGTGAGATCTTATCTGCAGTCTGTACATGATTCTGTGGAGCAGAAGTCATTATCCGTTTGACTCAACACAATTCTAATGTCTAAATGAATCTTTCTTGTTCGCACAATTTCGGTTCGTAGAATCGGATCGCGATGCCATCGGCGCTTTCCAGTACCTGCCTGCAGACGCACTTCAGTCACTTATCATGCGCCTTATAAGTGCCGTTGTATACCTCAATCAAATTGTTGTTGTGGCTCGTATCGATGTGATTTGCGACTTTGGGGGGAGTTGCTAGCTTTTCGACACGAAGTCTTAAGCCCTGTCGGATTGGGTTCAGTAAAGGTTCACTCATTTGCTGGTCAAAGTGTTCACTGAGCTCGGCTGTTGTTGCAAACGTTCCGTCACCAACGGAAGCAATCCTTTCAGTACACTGTTGTGTGCCATATGCACACGACTGCGCGACACACCTTGATGGATGCTACGGATCGCTCCGCTGTGTTACTCAACGGCACACTGATAATGTCACCTCGGTTAGTGACAAAATCTTTGCACCAAAACTGATGAGCTCAGCAAACACTCCGACCACCAACTTAACAACCTGTGCTATTAGTATTCGCTTGGCCCAAACGAATTGGATCACCAAGCCCATGGACGAATCACGCGTAAACTGCAGCTGTGACCTAATCAACAGCGCTTGTCCATCCAAAGCTGATCACAGCGTACCGACCCCTATGCTGAATATGCCCATATTCTTACCGACATGGTAAAGAAGTACCGAAGATATATATCCTTTTACCCTTTTTTATAAACACAGTGGGATTTCTGATCCGTATAGTAGAAAGTCCTCATTACAGCTTGCTGCTGCATACTGTGGCTGTTGCTGTCTCGAAAGCATTCCATTGTCGCCTACATAACTCCCCATTTTGGCGAATTGTTTGTGTGAATCCGTTACTTTCCGCCCCCTCTGATTAATGCACCATGAATCGCACTCCCTTTGTTTCAGGCATGTCAGACGCTGACGGCCATCGGGTCATGTTTTTAGCCGAAGTTGCCTTGGGAAATCCACATTCCATCTACAACTATGATTCCTCCATCAAGGCACCGCCTGCCGGCTACGACAGCGTTATTGGTGAAGGGGTATCGGAAGCCGGTAATCTATATTTTTCTTAGTATATTTGTTATCACATTTCCAGATTGTTGAATTTTTCTGCCACATCTCTAGCTGTAACCGTTTTCAGAAATCCTGTGAGTAGCGTCCGAACGCCTCTGCATACAACCGCCGGTGGTTGTGTGTCATCCTGTGCGAATTACTGGAGCATGGATAACTTATGTTGCACCACTCATACCCTCTAGATCAAGCATGTCAAACTGAGGGCCGCATGTGTCGTTGTTGTGATTCATGGACAGCCCGTAGCTTAGAGGTAACGAACTTGCCTTGTACTCTTGGGGCGCGGGTTCGAGCCTGCGTTAGGGGCAGGGCGATCCTCGCATTATCCTTAGCCTACGTGCGACCGGTGGTGGTTGCGCGGCAGCGAAGCGTCCTTACTGTGTATCGGCATATTGCTGATGCCTTTCTTACTTTACGATAACTTAGTGAAGCCCAGGGCCGTGTGATATCGGAAAGTTCAGGTACCTGACATGCTTTAAGTATGCATAAACGTATTTCAGTCGAGTCACCTACGTGCTATTTGCTATACGTTGTATTGTGCAAGAAGCATCTGTGATGCCGGTGAACCTCAGCAATGTATTGTGAATGTGCATCGTGTCCGATTCCAGCGAACGCTACACTGTCAACCACGCGCAGACATGCGGATAGTTACGTGCCGTTTGAAGTGCCGTCGAAGTATCAGCGTCACTTGCAACATGCTTTGCTTCATCTGTACACACGAGACCCCAGTTGCCAGACTCCGCTTTCGTCCAGCCGCTTAACATTCTTGCTCAAGGGCACATCCATAGTGATCAACATTCGACGAATAATGCCTTTGGAAAGAAGCCAATTAGCTTGTGACTTGGTCGGGAGTCCGCTGGTTACAGCCCTACCTTGTGACCAGCTTCGGTCTACTCAGGTGACGTGTCCGATTGAGGTTTTTTTTGCTCCATAGGCACGTATGTTCGCAGGCGCCATTATATCTGTTTTGAGTGGCATTTCTTATGAATGACTCTGCAGCGATGGCAATCGGTGTTGGCAGCCCTAACGGCACAGAGGACCTAGCCATCTATGCGGACGAATCCGCCCCAAACTCCGATTGAGCGAGTGGCCTTGTCAGTACCGATTCTGTCATATAAGGAAGCCTAACCCAAATGCTGCGCATGACCCGATCTTAGCTATCCCCCGATCCAAACAGATTGTGCCCCTGTCCAGTCAATCATCAGTGAGTTAACCATTAATGAACCGTATAACTCATCCGTTACGGGACACGTGTTGCCTCTTGATGTCGTTGTACCAATATTACCTGGTCATATTCACGAGCTAGTCTTTTATCCATCTACTTGGAGTACTTCAGGTCTTATCAGATTCTAATTGACTGATCGTTGTTTTCTGACGGGTAGTCACTTGGTTTTGACTTTCCTTTTGGCGAGAACTGAATAACTGTTCGTAACACCATCGAAATTCGTCCACTCGGATATATATCTGACGAAGAATGGGCATACTTTGGTCTGTACATGAGTTGTAGCTTCAAGGGCCAACTTTGTCCTCTGCTAAACTCGTGGATTGCATGATAGGGGAAGATGAATCGCGCTACATAGCATTCAGCTTGTAAGTCATGGCAGTTTGTCACTGCTGCCCATGGTTCAGTGGCATGAGCTGCTAGTGTTGGGAGGTCATGGGCTCGGTTCAGCGTAGAGCCACGGGGTGCGCATTACTGACGTCTCCCCTTAGTCCGATAATGTCGTCTATACCTTTCCCAGCCAATTGAATCCATGACGCTTTCAAATTAACTTTTAAGGAAACCATGGCGCTCCATAGATCTTTCAAGATGGTCCTTGACGCGAACTCGAATGCTGTTGAATGCTACGGTCCATTGAGTGAGCGAACCCAAATCAAACAATATCATCCCGTTCTGTGTGCTCATCTGTTATAATATCTGCTTATTTGAGATTGGTCACGCTCGTTGGATAGATACAACTTGAGAAATCGATGGAGGAACGTGTTTTCCCTAAGGAAGAATTTGAAAAGGTATAGTACTTCTTTGGACATATGGGGACTACCTTACTGCAAATTGGCTGCTACCGAATATCTATGAGTATTGTATCAAAAAATCCCCTGTTCACAAGTACCATTTGATACGAGCAGATTGAGTTTGTTTCACTTGTTTGAACGCAACAGTGAAGCGACGAGAACCAAGTATAAAATACTAACCAGTGCATCGGACGGTTTGTGAAGTTTTTCAGCGGCATACTTCGCTCCCCTGCTGCTGGGTCCAGCCTGTGAGATCTCGTGTCACACCACCTGTGGTGGTGGTTATCTTACCTATGTACCTCGTAGGGCGTGAATTTACCATTATCCATGGAACTTGGACTGAACTATTAGTGTGTTCAGTTTTTGTTACTATATCTGTTATTCACATTGTGAATATCCTAATTTTTATAGAAACATACGTGCAAAGTTTCACAACCGTTAGAACGCATGCGATCTGGTGGATGTTCATATTTCGGGCTACGCACTTGTTGCTTTCGTTTGAAAGTGGGCTGGATGAGACTGAACTTTCCGTTTGTGCTTAATTACTGCGCAGACGGTGTTATGGCATTTCCTGGCTCAAAAGCAAGGCATACTTTACTACACATTTGTTATAGAACAACTTTTCGTTGGACACACTCAAATGAACAGTTCACTTAGAGTCGTTCCTACGCGTCTAGTGGACGATTACGCACCTTGGACCAATCACATGTACGAGGCCTCTCCGCCGTCTAAGTGGTGACAGAACTTTGCCGATTGAGTGACGTACGCAATACGAACGTGACCCCCACTACCGTATTCCGACCAGACAAACAGAAGCAGGGCATGCCTTCTACCGATCGTTTTACTGGCTCAGGAGAATGAGATACAGGTTGAGACACTCACTTGTAGCACAAATTATTCACTACGCGCACGCGAGTTTCGGCGGGACGAATTCGTTCACGAAATCTCGTTACGTCTTGGTTTGCAAGTTGGTTGGTCACACTGCGGATACCATGCGGCGTAGCCTATTGCTTGCGCAAGCGAATATTGCAGTCCGTGCAGCGGGTGCGGAATCAACTGTCGTTCCCACAACAGCATTAAATGCAACAGGTTGCAGTTGGGACGTGATGCGACCGCTGACCGAATTACCGATTCACTGATGAGTGTATTTCCCATACTCGTCCAGCTTGATCTTCCTTTTTCTCGTTCTGCCCGCGGTGACACATGGATCAGCTTTGAATGAACTTTGCTGTTGCCGTCTCACTTCCTTGGTCACATTGCTTGCTCTCATTCGTATGCACCGTTCATCACACATTCAGTGTTTATCGCATAGTCACCGACGAGTCACTCAGCGCTCGCGTATCAACCACACCCTATTCCACCACGTGTTGAAATCTGATCACGGTTTACTCTGCAAGCCGATCACTCACTATAGTTTCGCCCTGATACGTTTCGTCACCAGCGCTGTTTTTTATATAGCCATCCTTAATCCACCCGTTACTTCACGCATAATGCTACTCTTCAGCAAAGCAAATATTCCTGTTTTAGTGATGCAATCAAGACCAAATGGGTGCCTGGTTGAGAACTATTTTTGTATAAATTCTCATCAGCCCCAAATGTTTACATGGCAGGGACTATGTTGTGCACAATACGTAGGTCACACTGCGAGGCGCCTATCTTAGAGGATTCGCGAGCGCGTCACGACTGGATTGTACAGAACCGAAATGAGCTCTCCAAACAACTATATTATGCCACACCTCTATGATTTTGGCTACAAACAACTTAGAAATCAATTTTCTAGCCAGATTTAAACTTACAAGACATAATTCCTTCCATATAACCATTTTGGTTCGATGAGAATTTATGCGAAAATACTTCTTATCCAGTACTCGTTTGGTCTTGATTTTCTCACCTCATACTTCTTCGAGTTATCCGTCATATCCCGTTTTATTTTTCCCCACAGCTTCGGACACCTTTGTCGAAGTTCGATTTCCAGATAGTACGGCAAGGGCCTTCACTAGCACACCGATACAGCGCAAGCACCAATCAAATTTCCACTACAGCGAATATCTCATTTACCGCGAATCACAATGCCGTCTGCGTTTCGTCATTGAATACACTCACAGCTGAGCCTCACGGAGCGTCTTTTTGCCTGTTTTTTTAACCTTTTACTGTGATAAGCAGCTTTCATCCACTCTGCAGTCCTATATATATCCGCCTCACCCAGGAAACATTTGCGTTTTGTTGTCTGTACCAAAGTCGCTTCTACAAAGCGCCTCGCTTACCTTATTTTTCCACGTTTTTTTTACCACATCACGTTGCCTTCCCTTCAATTGTTATAATGCTTTATATATAAAACCTTTTTATGTACTTTTTGAAGTCTCTCTACACTATGCTTTAAGCCGGATCCTTTTCTACGTCAGCCACTTTGTCCCATCGGGACTAGTCAGGGGTACGCATGCGTTGGCCCCATTAGAAATCGAATCCATGGCAACTAGCGGTTTGCACCGCCAGTCTGCAGTGAGCAATAATTTTTTTCAAAACCATGAACCGTTCATCTGTCATATCTCACTCAACTGTTTTGCTTTCGTTACTCAC